AGAGAGCAAAAAAAAAAAACCCTGTGACTCCAAGGGGGGCGGGCCAGGGGGGCCTGGAAGGATCAGGGAGGCATTTAAATGCCTCCCCGTGCCTTCCCCAGCCTGTCGAAGGGCCGGCTTGCCCAGGCTTCCTGCAGCCACGGAGCACCCAGGCAAGCCAAGGGTAGGCATGGGATGTGGCCTAATATGCTAATGAGTTCATGTTGGGCGTGGCCTGTTATGCTAATGAGTTCCTGCTGGGCTTTTTCTACAAAAAAAGGCCTGGTGATGATCAAAAGGGGAAGGAAAAACTATCTACGCTTCCCTGAGCTCCTTGGGAGAAGATGGAGGAGGAGAAAGAGTGGGAGTGGGATTTATACCCTGCCCTTCACTTGGAGTCTCCGAGTGGCTCACCATCTCCTTCCTTTCCCCACCACAGACACCCTGTGAGGTAGGTGGGCTGAGAGGGGGCTTTTGGGAACAGGGGACTCTGGGCTTTTTCTACAAAAAAAGGCCTGGTGATGATCAAAAGGGGAAGGAAAAACTATCTACGCTTCACTGAGCTCCTTGGAAGAAGATGGAGGAGGAGAAAGAGTGGGAGTGGGATTTATACCCTGCCCTTCACTTGGAGTCTCCGAGTGGCTCACCATCTCCTTCCTTTCCCCACCACAGACACCCTGTGAGGTAGGTGGGCTGAGAGGGGTCTTTTGAGAACAGGGAACTCTGAACCACTACACTAAACTGGCTCTTAGAATCGTACCGAGGAGCTGGATAAAAGGGAATTGCTGTGAGCCTTCCAGGACAGAAATGCCCCCCCCCCTTTTCATTCTGCTTTGTTCTAATGTAAACCTCCAGCTAAGAAATGTAGTCTCTCTAAAGGATAGGGCAAAACGCGGGTCTGAATAAATACTTTTAACTATCTTATTGGTGATGACTTGGGAGGATCCTTAGTTTATCTGCAGCGAATGAGAAGTACAGGGACCATTGTGGATGGCCTTCCCTCTGTCGCCATGCACGCAGAGAGTGACAGGACCAAGGCCACCTTGTGAGTTTCCTGGTGGATTAGGGGGTTGGGGAAACTTTTTATGTTGCAGCAAGTGAAGGAAGGTGCCTGTGAAATTTGTAGGCAGTTTGGGTCCTGTTTTTGTTGCTTGAACAATAGAGGATCCATCTCTAGTAGATAAATGCTGGATTCTTCAGCCAAATGTATACCCTGTCCAGGTGGCTTGCAATCATTTGTACTGTATACTGAATTAGCTGATGTCTCATTTCACTTTTGACTTCTAGAGCTGCATAAGACATCAGAAGTCCATTAGGCCAGGTCATATGTATGTTATCTACAAAATGGGGGGGGGGGGAATTCAGGCTGCTTCTGGTTCCAGTCCATCCATTCTCACTGTTCTGCAGCCTGCGTCCACACTTTGGCAGTGAAGTGGTTTGTCTTCCTATAGGGCAGATGTTTGTCATTAAGCACAAGCTGAAAGAAGGGATGATGCGCTCATAAGTTGTGACGCATTTAGAATGGGTTTTCACTGGATCGTTGTCAGAACTTTAGCTTCTGTTCCCAACGAAAGAGGGGTGGGGGGAAACCTCATCCGTCTGTCGCATATTCTTTATGGGAGTGTCGATTCACACAAGCTGTGAACTCCTGGCATTGGATCCCTGTCAGTGAATGTGTGAACCATCTCCGTCGGAAAGCCTAGTGCGGAAGATGACATTCCGTATAGGGTGGTGGTGAGCAACACTCCCTCTAGGCTGTGGAGTCTTGTGAGCAAAAATTCTCCTCTGTGAGCTACCGGCGTTAAAGCTCTGAGCGAGCGATTTGGCTGCTGCATCAATTCGTTTGCTCTGGAACCCATCCTTCCTGAGCTAAGGCAAAAGTGTGTGAGCCGGAGGCTAAAAAACCCTGTGAAATAGCTCACACTAGCTCAGCTTAGAGGGAACACCGGTGGCTCATTCCCGCATGCATGACCATGAATAGGTGCCATTGCCAGCAAGTAACAAGTGGGGATGTGCGTGAACCCGCCCTTGGCTGTTGCACATTGAAAAGACTTTGTATACGGTGTTATATTATTTTTATATGTATATTTGGAAAATGTACTTCCGACTTATTAAAAAATAAAGTTTACTTGGGGAAAAGAAAAGCCTCGTCTGAATTGCTGCTGGCGAGAAAAGCGTGTTGTTGTCATTTATTATTAATGATTGGGTTTTTGACCGCACTTCCCGATAGCCAGACTCAGGGTGGTTTACGTCAAAGTTCACGTAGGAAACAGTTTAAACCAGCATAAAACAAATCAAGCATCAAATTCCCTAAAAAAAACCCTGAGACCGCCTTCGCGGGGAGGGCGGGGTATAAATTGAATCAATCAAAAGAACAACAATAACAGATGGCGTCAAAATCCTGTGTTCCTAGGAAGCAGCTGTGTGTCCAGTCGCAGCCTCCTCCAAAACAGCAATACCAGTCACGGAGGGGCATTTAATGTGTCCATTTTGTCTTTAGCTTCCCCCCCCTCCTATGACCAGTGTTTTATATAGCCTGAATGCACTTGTATTTTGTGATGTGTGGCTTGGTGTGGCTCGGGTCTCGGCGTGGATCCTGAAGTTTTAATTCTTTCCACCGAACATCTCAGTGGGATTTATTTCTGAGCCCCCAAACCAGCATGTGAATCCGAGCGGCTCCCAAACACTGAAAACACCCCACCTGGAACAAAACAGTGGGCATGCTCCCCTGGAAAATATCCCCTGGGAGAATCCCCTTCTATCCCACCTTGTAAGTAAAACTTCATGTCTGGATGAAAATTCCAGAGAACAAGAGAGGAAAAAGCCGTATAAATGGGCTAACGATCCTACATTTGTGAATAATAACAATAATACAGAATATTGTTAAGGTACTATTTTAGAAGCCTCTGTCATTGGCTTTGAGGTTGCGTATCTAGAGTTTTGAGAATATTGTTAAGATACCATTTTAGAAGTTTCTGTCATTGGCTCTTCTTTCTCCTTATATTCTTTTATAGATTGCTTGCAGAATTATGCTACAATAAAATATTGTATTGTATATATTGCTATTTTTATTCAACAATTGATGGAAACCAGGAGACAACTGTACGTAACTTAAATTTATTGAAAATATATTACAAAATGTATTGGGTACATTACACAATTGTAATTTTTATTAATGTTGTTGCTAAAAGGATCTGTACGGTCCAGTTCAGATGAAGACCTTCAAAATGACTGGATACCTGGGAAAATCTCGTCAACTCAGTGTTTTGGACCTCTCTTCCATTTGTATTTGTTTCACACAATTTTGCAATGTATTGTTATTATTATTCACCAATATAGTATAGTTTTTGGATTATTTAGCACATGCATATGGCTTTCTTTCTTTCTCTTGTTCTCTGGATGAAAATTCCAGCCATGATTAGAAATGAATCGTTTTGTTGTAAATCTTTTTTCCTTTAAAAAAGCAACCCTCTCTGACCCTAGAATTCTCATATCAAGAAGCTGGAAGGGGAGAGTTTCCGATCCCGCTCTGCTTTTCCAGGAAGCAGGAAGGCACACCTTGTAATCACCAACAGGTAAGATTTGGGGGGGGGGGGGTGAGCACAATTGGGGCAGGAGGCAAGATTCTCTGCTGCTTGTGGTACAGCTAATGCTAACTGCTGCTGTGCTGTCGCTTTGAAACGGGGTGATATTGCAGGGCTCTGTGGAAACTTCCTCCTGATTTTTGTGTGAGACTCAATCAAGGTGTGTGAGGAGCAAATCCCAGTAGTGAGGATTCCCAAGAACTTAGAGAAGAAATGAATTATCAGCATGCCGCTTCTCTGTTAGAGGCCAGTTTGGTGTAGTGGTTAAGAGAGGCAGACTCTAAACTGGGGAACCGGGTTTGATTCCCCGTTCCTCCACATGCAGCCAGCTGGGTGACCTTGGGTCAGTCACAGTTCTCTCAGAGCTGTTCTCTCAGTAGCAGTTCTTGAGAGAGCTCTCTCAGCCCCACCTCCCTCACAGGCAGTGTTCCCTCTAAGCTCGCTCACAGTTTTTTAACCTCTAGCTCACACATTTTTGTCAGCTCAGGAAAGGATGGCTCCAGAGCAAACTAATTTCTGCAACTAGCCAAATCGCTCGCTCACATTTTTAATGCCAGTAGCTCGCAAAGTAGAATTTTCACTCACAAGACTCCACAGCTTAGAGGGAACATTGCTCACAGGGGTGTCTGTTGTGGGGAGGGGAAGGGAAAGGAGCTTGTAAGACGCTCTGAGACTACTTCGGGTAGTGAAAGGCAGGATATAAAAACCAACTATTCCTACTCTTCCTCCACCTCTTCTTCTTCCCCCCTTCCCCCATCCCTGAAGCTCATAGATTGACATCTGGGGGCCATTTTTGGCCCTGGGGACTCCTCTGGCTGAAACACACACACACACACCCCAGTCTAGACCTGTATTCTGCTGTGCTTTTTTGAGAATATGTTGTGAGAGGCTAGGTGCAAAGCTGGTTTCATCTCCTGGCAAGGAAAACCTCACTCCCTCCTCATACAGGGTCCCAGGGCTGAGGTCTCAGTGTGCATTCCTTACCTGAGGAATTCCGTTAGTTATTCCTTACCTTACGCTTCCGTTAGTCTTTAGTGAAAGCTCAGTCAAGGAGCCAAGTGCTCTTTTGTTTCACTGTCCTCCACCTCCTCCCGTGGTCTTTGGCTAGGCCTTCTTGAATTTCCTGATGTCGGTATAGCTGTCCTCACCCTCTCTTTTTATGTGTCAGAATAAAAAGGGCATAGGTGGAGTGTCTGGTGGCAGTTCTGCTGTAAAGCAAGGAACGGTGTGTTAGTTAGGACCCAGGCTCCCTCTAAGCTGTGGGACCTTGTGAGCAAAAATCTCACTTTGTGAGCGACTGGCATTAAAGTTGTGAGCAGGCAGGTGATTTGGCCGCTGCATAAATCAGTTTGCTCTGGGGCCCTCCTTCCTGAGCTAAGACAAAAACCTGTGAGCTGAAAGCAAAAAGACTGTGAGCTAGCTCACACCAGCTCAGCTTAGAGGGAACACTGGTTAGGACAACAGTCTAACTTCCAATATATTCCATTGGAATAGTAGTGTGCTAATACCGCTAATCCGTTTGGTCACATGCCTGGCCTGCAAAAATACATAGTTTGTATTTTGAGGCTCTCCCCCTGCTGCAAAAGACTCCGTGCTTCCGATAAATGGAAACTTTGACACGACGTTGTGTTTTTATCTAGGAGGTTGTTGTGCATAAAGGAGGTGGAGATTCTTGGGCACGTGACCACAGACTGGGATTGCTTATACGAAGACTTCACTCGCCACCCCGCCGTGGTTGAAAATACACTACAAATCTTCGTCAAAGTAAGAAACAGCGACACCAGGCGTAGGTCCCATGCTTGAGTGATGGTGATAGTTTAGTGATACAAAGCGCAGCGGAGAGAGCTCTCGCAAATATTTTCAAGTCTTATTCTTGTTGCAAGGCTGGGTACAGCCCTTCTAACAAGTTTCCGAAGCTCAAGCCATGATCCCTGTTTTTGTCTCTCACGTCCTCTGTCATCGCTCAGAACCTGGCCTGGAGTCTGTAAGCACAGCAGATCCATACTGTCTGGATCCTGCTTCTGGATCTTTTTTGAGGTGTGGTGACCAGAATTGTACGCAGTACTCTAGATGAGATCGCACCATTGATTTATACAGGGCATTATGATAATGGCTGATTTGTTTTCGATTCCCTTCCTAATAATCCCCAGCATAGCGTTGGCCTTTTTTATTGCAGTCACACACTTTCTCGACATTTTCTTTGAGTTATCTACTACGACTCCAAGATCTCTCGGTCAGTCTCTGCCAGTTCGGACCCCATCAAAGTGTGTTTATATTTAGGATTTTTGGCTCCCATGTGCATCACTTTGCACTTGGCCACATTGAACCCCATCTGCCATGTTGACACCCTCTCGCCCATCCTCAACAGATACCTTTGGACTGCCTCACAATCCTCCCTGGTTCTCACCACTCTGAATCGTTGGGTGTTAATGTGTAGTCTCATGAATCAGAATACATAAAACAGGGTTGGGAATACTTTCTTATCTAACTTTGTGTGTGGCCCTTTTTGGGGGAGCCATGGCAAAATGGTGTCTGAACAAGTCCTCTTCGACGGTGGCATTTAATAGCAATGTTTGCAGCCTTTCAAGTGTCGCTGCTTGTTCCCGACAGGATCACGGGCTCTTGAAGTTCCACAAAAAAGACGGCTCAGGACAGGAGATGCTCAGGAAGATCCAGTTCAGTGATGCAGAGTCAGCAAAGGTAACAATACTAGAGCTGCTGCTCTTTCACCGGAGACCACCCAGTTAGCATGTTAAGTGCAAATACGTTTCTGTTAGAACCATCAGTATCTGTTCTCTGCAGCACTGGCAATAAGAACGTAAGAGCGTGATGGCAGGGTGATGTCTCTGCTTTTTTATTACGCTGTCTAGGTTTGCCATCGCTTTCCTCCCAAGGGGCAGGCGTCTTTTAATTCCATGGCTGCGGTCACCGTTTGCAGCAATCTTGGATCCCAGGAACGTGAAGTCTGTCACTGCTTCCACGGCTTCCCCTTCTATTTGCCAAGGAGCGATGGGGCCGGATGCCATGACCTTAGGTTTTTTTAGTGTTCAGTTTCAAGCCCGCTTTTGCACTCTCCTCTTTCACTCTGAGCAAGAGGCTCTTTAGGTCCTCTTCTCTTTCTGCCATTAGGGTGAGCCTTAAGAGGTTCCTAGTAAAACATTCTCCTTTGCTTTCCAGCGGATGTGCCGTGCCATCAACGAAGCCCGAGCAACAAGGCAGCAGCAGAAGTTGGTGAAGCAGGCGTCTCTCAAGCTGAGCATGCCGCAGGCACCCTCTTAACTCGCCGCCAATTCGTGGAGACCGCCTTCCTCCGGGGAGTGAGTTTCCCAGAAAGGAGTGGGGGGGGTGTCTGCAGGGGGTTCCTCCGCCTCCCCGCCCCCAGCCACCTAAACCCCAACCTTCACCGCCCTAGAAATCACCGCCACACCTTATTGAAAATCTCGGTGTGTAATTATTCCCTGCAGCAAAAAAAAAAAAAAAAATAAAAGAGAGCGGATGAAATTAATCATGCTTGCTTTATTTTTATCACTAGGATGTGACCAAAAAATATTTTTTAATTTTTTTGTTACAGTTGACAATATACGTTCAATGAGTGTATTAAGCACGCAAACAAAACTGTGTTCTAAGAATCTGTCTACTGTGTCCTGGGATACGTTTTATAATGTTGGAAATCGCTTCTTAGAGTATGTGGGCGGGTTTGGTCTTTTCTTTTTCTTCTTTTATCTTTCAACAGAAGACAGAGCACTTTGAAAAAGTGTCTTGAGTTTAAAGTCATTATCGTCCAAGCTTTATTTGAAATCTGGCTCTACAGAAATGAAGACGTGGCTTGAGAAACGTGCTATGCTGCTTTCTCCCAGTGTGTAGGCTTAAGAGAAGGATGCAGTTTCTCACGTTGTTACCGATGAGAAAACTCATTTAATCGGGTTGTATTGTTTGCACAAGGGGAAGCGGAGGCCCAAACAGGCCTGTCTGTGCTAGTCACAGTACTCTGTTCACGTCGGCCAACAAGCGGGCTTTGAAATATGCTGATATTGCACACATCTAGTATATATTGTACAGGTGTATAGTTAGAGGAACGCTTGGTTTTAAAATATCTTTGGCTGGAAGGTGACTGGCACAGCGCTTTCAACAGGTGTACCGATTCTGTAGCGTGTGTGTAAACCTGGCTCAGGGACACAACAGTGCGTATTGTACTAAAGCGCATACGTTTACTGATCACACAGGTTAATCTGTTCAGGCTAGCTGCCACGTAAACAAAACCAGTCAGTGGGTATATAATCATTTTCACCTCAGTGGCACCGCTGAATCCTTTGTCTGAACGTCAACGCTACACTTCAGCAAGGCACATTAACTGGCAGGGCACCTGCGGGGTTAACGCACAGATCTGTTTACAAGAGCTTTTGCACTTTGACAGCAGCGGGGTATTATAAAGGGGGTCCCCTTTACAGACTAGATGTCAAATCAAGTAGCCCTGCTGCAGGACTCTCGCTTTACAAATGAAGGGATCCCTTAAATTCAGTATTTTACAAGTATTTCTGTGCCCCACCAGTGATATTAAAAGGCTTACTTCCCTTTGCAAACGTTTTGCTTTGGGCACGAGGGTTTTTTTTAATGTGCATTTCATTTTTGGTAGCTCCGCAACAAAGCTTGTTGCCAGCATCCTCCAAAATTTGCTAACGATACCGAATGCATTAATTCTTTTCAATGGTGTTCAGCCTGTTGGTTCCCAAAGAAGAAGGCTAATAATAACCAAAGGTGTAAAGCGGCACAAGTGAGGATCCGGTGCCATCTTGTGAGGCTGCATCGAATCAAGAGAAACAAAGAGTTTTGTCTGTCGTGGCCAAAGCCAGTTCCAGGGGCCGAGAATTGTACTGCCGAATCCTGTTCTTTTTAAAGGAAGAGTGCTTTTTGTTGTGGTGTTGTTTTTAGTGTGCCTTTTCTGCATCATGTTACACTTTACCTTGACAAGTCAAAAGATGCGACAAGTCATTACGTCTGGCTGATGCCCACCCGGCTCAGTGACCGTCTCTGGGTAAGCACTCTGTACTTGGTGTGTTTTCCTTGTTTCCAACCCTCTATGTACAATATTGCCAAATAAATGATTTTATATGCATTTTCTTTGTGGCATTTGTGCCTAGCGGTGGACGAGATTTGGGAACTTAATACAGAGCAGGGGGGGATCCCCCGATTTTTTTTTTAATGGCTCTTTTTAAAAAACAAATATTTTATTCGGTAAAAAGAAATTTGGATACAAACCTTTTACAAACTGAAGATGAATTTAAAGGGCTCTTTTGAGTTATTTGATAGCAAATAACACCTTTTCTGATGAAGAAGTGAGCAGTGACTCACGAAAGCTGGTCCCCTGCCACAAATTTTGTTAGTCTTTAAGGTGCTCCTGGACTCCGCCTCTTTTCTGCCTTTTCTAAGAAGAAGAAGAGATTGGATTTATACCCCGCCCTTCACTACCCAAAAGAGTCTCAGAGCGGTTTACAATCTCCTTTTCTTTCCCTTCCCCTCCCCACAACAGACACCCTGTGAGGTCGATGGGGTTGAGAAAGCTCTTTTGAGGACTGCTCATGAGAGAACAGCTCTGACAGAACTTGTAACTGACCCAAGGTCACACCAGCAGCTGCATGTGGAGGAGTGGGGAATCAAACCCAGTTCTCCCAGATTAGAGTCCGCACTCCTGACCACTACACCAAACTGGCTCTAATGATTTGCTCTTAAACTGCTTTCCCAAAGGTAGATTCACATGAGCAGCTGTGTTGGTCTGAAGCAGTAGAACAAAATGTCCAGTGGCACCTTTAAGAACAACAATGTTTAATTCAAGGTGTGAGCTTTCGTGTGCTTACACCTTGAACGAAACTTTATTGGTCTTAAAGGTGCCACTGGACTCAGACTTCGTCCTGCTTCCCACAAGGTGGCAGCATTTGCAAACTGGTTGCTGTCGCTACGTTGGTATTTGGGTAGTGTTGCAAGAACCGGCGAACATTTTTAAGGAGGTGGAAGACTCATTCCGGTTACTGGTAAAAGCCAGCCTGTATAGAGAAGTCGCGAAAAATGGGATAAAGGGAGAACTCACACATTTTTTTAGGTGTGGTTAGAACGATACATGCCTCAGCCCCCAGGTTTATATTGTGTCAAGTGCCCTCAAGTCACTTCCGAATTACGGGCGACCCCGTGAATTAACATCCTCCCAAACATCCTGTCCTCCACAGCCTTGCTCAGGCCTTGCAAACCAAGGGCCTTTGTGGCATCCTTGACTGAGTCCGTCCATCTCTGCATTGAGCAGGGGGTTGGACTAGAATTGGGGTGTCAAACATGCGGCCCGGGGGCCGGATGAGGCCCCCGGAGGGCTTCTATCAGGCCCGCAGTGGAACTGGCTGTCTTCTGCTTCTTCTTCCAGTTCTGCTGCTGCTGCGTCATTGTAGGTTTGCAGCTTATAGAGACACACCTGAACAACAGACTCAAGATTGCAACAGCACAGACATTTTGATGCAATAATTCAGAGCAAGAGGCGTCCATTATCAGACACTGTTAAATAAATGAAATATTGCAAGAGTGCTCATGTTTCAGGCATTTGTATAAAGTTTATATCTCCGCTACCTGCCATTACATCTTATGGCACACATGGCCCGGCCCAACAAGGTCCAATTTATGTCAGATCCGGCCCTCATAACGATTGAGTTCGACACCCCTGGACTAGATGGCCTGTCTTGCCCCTTCCAACTCTGTGATTCTAGCATGATTGTCTTCTCCAGTGACTCTTCTTGTGACGTGACCCAAGCATGATAGCCTCATCAGTTTAGTCATTTTAGCACCTGGGGAGAAGTCCCGGCTTGATTTGCTCTAGAAGGCACCGATTGGTCTTTTGGGTGGTCTGGAATATCTGTAGACTTCTCCTCCATCACCACATTTCAAAGGCAACAGCTGGAGTTCTTTTCTTTATTATTTTTGTTGAGTTTTGATATATTATGGGAAAGGAAATATAAGGGTGGGAAGGGTACAAGGTGGGGATGTGACATAAAGGAGAATTTCATCAAATTTGTATAACAGCTGTTACATATTTTCAGTCTTGATTCTTTGTTTCCAGTTTATTTATTTACTAGAAATAATGCCCGTTGCAGAAATAAATACAACGGGATCTAGAAAGAGGCTCTGGGAGAGTGCTCTGGCTTTGGGCAAACAGTGTCAGTTTCCTGTGGCGACCTCAGCAGGGAAGGGTACAAGGTGCGGGATGTGACATAAAGGAGAATTTCATCAAATTTGTATAACAGCTGTTACATATTTTCAGTCTTGATTCTTTGTTTCCAGTTCTGTTTCTTTGTATAATTACTAAGATGAGTATAACTTAATCGCCAACATATTCTGTTATGTTTCCTGCTAAGAGTCTAATTCTCTATCATTCAAGTTGGAGTTTCTCCAAATGTATATTATGTGTATTTATTGTTCTTGGTCTTCGAGGTTTCTTTCCACCCAGTCATAAAATAGTGTCCAGCTATTTCTTACGTTTCATTTACTTCTGTCCTTTGCAACAGCTAGAATTCTTGATAGAACAAAATGGCACGCTGCATATCGTGTGTGTGTGTGTGTGTGTGTAAAACCTTATTTGGCTAAAGATCTTTATTAACTCCCTTGATTGTTTCTGGTCCCAATTCAGGGTGCTGGCTCTGACATAAGAACATAAGAACACAAGAGAAGCCAGTGTTGGATCAGGCCAGTGGCCCATCCAGTCCAACACTCTGTGTCACACAGTGGCCAAAAATGCCAGGGGCCATCAGGAGGTCCAGCAGTGGGGCCAGGACACTAGAAGCCCTCCCACTGTTGCTCCCCCCCTCCCCCAACACCAAGAATACAGAGCATCACTTGGCCCAGACATAAGAACATAAGTGAAGCCAATGTTGGATCAGGCCAAAGGCCCATCCAGTCCAACACTCTGTGTCACACAGTGGCCAAAAATGCCAGGGGCCATCAGGAGGTCCAGCAGTGGGGCCAGGACACTAGAAGCCCTCCCACTGTTGCTCCCCCCCTCCCCCAACACCAAGAATACAGAGCATCACTTGGCCCAGACATAAGAACATAAGTGAAGCCAATGTTGGATCAGGCCAAAGGCCCATCCAGTCCAACACTCTGTGTCACACAGAGGCCAAAAATGCCAGGTGCCATCAGGAGGTCCAGCAGTGGGGCCAGGACACTAGGAGCCCTCCCACTGTTGCCCCTCCCCCAAGCACCAAGAATACAGAGCATCCCTTGCCCCGGACTCAGAGTCCCTATCTATACCTTGTGGCTAATAGGGGCCACTGATGGACCTCAGCTCCATATGTTGATCCAGTCCCCTCTTGAAGGCGTCCCTGCTTGTAGCCGCCACCACCTCCTGTGGCCGTGAATTCCATGTGTGTTAATCACTCTGGGTGAAGAAGGACTTCCTTTTATCTGTTCTAACCGGACTGCTCAGCAGTTTCATGGAGTGCCCCTGAGTTCT